ACTCACATCATAGGGTGCCAGAAGAAAAAGAAGAGAACAAGAAATTGGAAATATATCTGAGAAAATAGTGAAAGAAAATTTCTCTAGTTTGGTGAAGGAAATAGATGTGCAAGTCAAGGAAGCACAGCAAGTCCCAAACAAGGTAGATGCAAAGAGGCCTACTCCAAAACAAATTAATTAAAAGGCCAAAGGTTAAAGGTAAAGAAAGACTTTGGTGTGCCGGCTGGCACTCAATCCACTGAGCCACACCAGCCAGGAATAAAGAGAGAATCTTAAAAGCAGCAAGAGTAAAGATGTTCATTAGTTACCTACGAGGGAGTTCCCGTAAGATTGTCAGCCAATTTCTCAAAAGAAACTTTGCAGGCTGGAAGGGATTGGCAGAAATATTTAAAGTCATAAAAAGGAGGGAGCTACATCTGAGATTGCTCTATCCAGCAAAGCTATCATTTAGAATGGAAAGGCAGATAAAGATCTTCCCAGACAAGAAAAAAACTAAAGAAGTTCATCATCACCAAATCATTATTATATGAAATGTTAAAGGGACTTATTTAAGAAATAGAAGATCAAAACTATGAACAAGCCCTGGCTCATGTGGCTCAGTGGATTGAGTGCAAGCCTGAGAATCAAGGGGTTTCTGGTTCAGTTCCCTGTCAGGGCACATGCCTGGGTTGCAGGCCAGGTTCCCATTGAGGGCATATGAGAGGCAACTGATCAATGTTGTCTCTCACACACTGATGTTTCTCACCCTCTTTCTCTCTCCTTTCCCCCCCTCTTTAAAAATAAATAAATAAAATCTTTAAAGAAACTATGAACAATATGGCAAAAAATACATATCTATCAACAGTTGCATCTAAAAAACAAACTACTAAGCAGACAAGCAGAGTAGGGACAGAATCATGGATATGGAGACTGTTTTGACGGTTGCCAGATGAGAGAGAGGTGTGGGGGAAGGGGTGAAGACGTGAGGGGATTAAGAAGTACAAATAGGTAGTTACAGAATAACCAAGGGGACATAAAGTACAGTATAGGAAATGAGATAGCCAAGGAACTTATACACATGACCCATGGACATGAACAATAGTTGGGGGGTTGCCTCAGGGAGTGGGGGTGCTGGGTGGATGGGGACAAATGGGGGAAAATCAGTACAACTCTCATAGCATAATCAATAAAATATAATTAAAATTTTTTTCCTTTAACTTTTATAATGTCTATCATACGCTGCCATTCTGAGATTTGAGCACAACCACAAATCCATGAATTCATGAGAATGTAGGCTGCCATCCAATGAAAAGAAGACTTTGCTTAAGTTTAAAGTAAAAAAGAAACAGCTTATGCTAAAGTTTCTTAGAAAAACATTCAAGAAATTGGATTTTTTAATTTAGCCCATGACCTCTTGAACTGGCAGTTGTGAGATGCGTGCTTTGTGCCCAGGCTCATGAAGGGCATGAATCCAGTCAGCACATGTTGCTTATTCCTTCTAAAAATTTTTATCAAACACCTTTTCTGTTCCTGCACCTAGTGCTGAGTTCAGTTAAAAAAGACCAGTTTCTGTCGTAGGATAGGGAACAAAAGAAAGTTAAAGTAGTGGAATAAGAGAAAATCTTGAGGGTTTTTTTTTTGTTGTTTTGTTTTGCTATAGGAAGAAGAGCACCTAATCCAGCCTGGCCCTACTGAGTTAGGAAAGGCTTCCTGGAGTGGAGCATTAAAGAACCACCAGGAGCTAGAGGTACAGTGGTTTGACAATCCATGCAGATGAGTCTTTCTAGGCACTACAGTGTAGTGTATAGTGTATAGGCATGTGCTGGACAAATGGTTGTGTCCAGGGAGACCAGGCAAAGAAGAGAGGCCTGGATTGGGAGCCATTAAGTATGTACTTTTTTTTCTTTTTAGTAAAGTTATTCATTAGTGTAACAAGTAAATGCAAAGCTGGAAAAGAAAATCTTGTGCTTTTCCCAGGTAACCCTGAGACATGTATCTACAACTTATTTTGTACAAACCTAAAAACACAGTATTACTTTTATTCAAAAGTGGAAACATGTTTCCCCTTACTCTGTACTTAGCTTTTCTTCCTAAGGACCACATGACCATCTCTCCAATGCAGAAGGCAGGGCAGTCCCAGAGGCAAAGATTGAAGAACTCTTCCGGCCTGGAAGGGGAGGTGGCTGCTGAGGGCACACCACACATGTGCATGGTGTCTTGAGCCCCTGCCAGTGGTCCCTGGTCTGAACAAGGCTGAGCAGCTCCAGTGGACCCCTTACCAGCTGCTGGCACCCTGCACCCTCGTTGGAACCGAATGTCAGGCTGGAGGCCTCTGACCACACCAGTGAGTTGCTTTTCATGTTGTGTGTTGGCAGTTGGAGATCATGTTATTGGCCTCTTACCAGTGCCAGCCGTAGAGGCTAAACGAATGGGCGCTGGATTTCAATAATCAGTGGCTACTCCCTTGTGAAACTAAGCATGTAGTACCAGGTTCCTAGGGAGGCACTCCGCTGCAGCCCGGAGATTTAAACTGATACTCATTCCCTTTTAGATTTTAAAACTTAAAATACTTGGCATTAAAGTTAACCCCATGAGACAAAGGACATTGGTCTTATCTCGCACTCAGGAAAACATCCCATTTTTTCCTAATAAACAGTCTAATGTACAATTCTGTATCTTCAGCCAGTTTAATTTTCAACTTGTATTACTACCACTGGTAAAAAACAGTACTTACTGAGCCCTTCCTATGTAAGCAGCCTTATGTAATTTTCAGAACCATTATATAAAACACAGCCTATTATTCCCATAATGCACATGAAAAAACGTTTCTGCATTTTGCTCATGGAGCTCACACTGAAATCCAGGTGTGAATCCCAAAGACAGTAAATTTTTTATCTTTGAATCAAACTGTTGTCAGTTTCCTATCTTCGGGTTTGGGCAGACGTGAGGAATCCATGGATTGTTTTTCCACATTCTGTTAAACTTTACCTAAATTGGCCACAGGCAGTGAGATGACTAGAAAGAACTAAATTACAAGGATCTGGACTTGTTTTTGCTGTCATTTTATCTTTTTACTTGGGCTAGGACAATGGCTCTGTTACCTGGTAACTTGTTTGAAAGAGCAAAATCTCAGGCCCTACTCTAGACCTGCACAATCAGAAACTCTGGCAATGGCTCTCCACAAGCACAAATTTGAGAACCAGTAGAAGAGAGGGCAGTTTCCTCCTCTATAAAGTACAGCTGTTCTTGGTACCTGCAGAGGATTGGTTCCCAGGCCAAATTTGGCAAGATGCTTGGGACCTTTATATAAAAAATGACATTTGCATCTAGGCTACAGCAGGGTATACCTATACATCATTTTTGTGGCAAATTCAAGCTTTGCTTTTTGGAACTTTCTGGGATTTTTATCCCCCAATATTTTTCAATCCAAAATTTGTTCAATCTCACAGCCTATTATTCCCATAATGCACATGAAAAAACATGTTTCTGTATTTTGCTCATGGAGCTCACACTGAAATCCAGGTGTGAATCCCAAACATAGTAAATTTTTTATCTTTGAATCAAACTGTTGTCAGTTTCTTATCTTTGGGTTTGGGCAGAACCTGAAAATACGGAGGGCTGACTCTTTATGTTTTAATTCCTGTTTTGTCAGTCTCCCAAGGTTGCTGAGATAACCAAATGGAGTGATGAAGGTACAAGACGTCAGAAACCCTAGTGTATTTGTATTGATGTAGCTTACTGACAGTTCATTCCCTGTGCTTTCAGTGCCTATGCTTCATTCTCCCAATTATTTCAAAAGACTGTGATGATGTCTAAGCTGGGGTGCTCCCCTTGGTCTGAGCCCCAACCTCTCACTTGCAGTGCCAAGGGCTGCCATCATTGGAACTTCCACATTAATTCTAAGTGGCGCTTCTGCCCTAGATGGGTTAATACAATCATGTCCCCATACTGGTAAGTGTTGAAACTTGGCTGTACCTGACCATCCAGATTTTAAAGCTTCCCAGGTAATTCCATTTGTAGTGAAGGTTGAAAACCAGTGCCATATGTGAAAAAGACCTGATGCTAATTTCACAGACAGGAAGGTTGGCCACCATGTGGCACAGTACCCCCCATGGGACATAATTGGCCTCCATCCTTCCTCCTTGCGAATGGGTGGTGGGAAGCATTGCTGAGGCCAGGAAGTGTATTTGTAATGGTGATAACCTCAGTCAGTGTTCTAAAAGGCTTTTTTTTTTTTTTGAAGACTACAAACCTGTCAAGTTTCTGCCTCTCCAGGCTCTATTTTCTTTTAGTGATTTCTAATTTTTTTTTTTTTTTAGTTTTATCATGGTAAGATATGTAAAATTTACTTTTAAACATTTTAAAGTGTACAATTCAGCAGCATTATAAACCATCAGTTTCCAAAACTTATCCCAGACAGAAACAATTAAGCACCAGTTTTCCATTCCTCTCCCCTCCCTTCCAGCCTGTGGCATTTATGTAGCTGGAAGCATAATATACTATCTGTCATCTGTCCTTTCAAATGTAATACATAGAGTACACAAAAATAGGTTTACAGTTTTTTATGATATTCAATACTGTTTCACATACTATTATAAACCTACCTTTGCCAATCCCAGTATGTGTCCCATTTTGTTCACCCTGTTAGACACATGGTTGTTTTCTCTTTGGCTATTGTGAATAATGCTACAGTACATACTGGCATACCAAGTTATCTGAATTTTAAGGAGTATAAAGTCCAGGTCATATGGCAATTCCATGCCTGGATTTTGAGGAGCTGCCTAACTTTCCCACAGCAGGTGTACCATTTTACATTCCCACCAGCCATGTAGAGGGTTCCAACTTTTCCATTCTTAATATTTTCATTTTAAATTAGATTCTGGATTATTTGATGTGAAGTAGTAGTTCACTGTGGTTTTGATTTGCATTTCCCTCATGACTGATAACTTTCACTCTCCACCCATTTAATTGAAAACATTTTCCCTACTGTTAATGGTATTTTTTTGAATTACTCATTTTAACTAGTTAAGTGAAAAGTTACCTGTCTCAATTAGTGAAAAGCTAATGTTTTCTTCTGGGAAAAAAAAGCCTGTAGTGACACACTGGAAATGCTTTGTAATCAGTATATTAAGGAGACATTCATACATTTCAAGAATTGCTTAAATTCTGATATCCAGACTTAAGCTTGTGAACATGACTTTTAAACATACAATTAAAGCTATTCATAATTTGCTATACTACCGACATTAAATTACAGTTACTCTGGAGCATAAGTTAAATGGTTTAAAGTAAGCCTGTAACATACCTAAAAAAAACCCCAAAAACCACCACCTTCCTATCTCATACATGCAAATTACTGTTCCACATAAAAGTCTCATCACTCAGCTTCTAAGTTAGCCTGCTCCAAAAGTCACTACACTAAGGCTTATGGTCCAAAGAGAAGGAAAAAAATGTAACCAAGGACTGATAGTTATATATATTTTTAAAAAGATGGCACTGCAGAAGGGAATGCAATTCTACAAGTGCAAGCCCTCAGGAAGCAGCTTGTAATGATAAACCCCTTCTTCAGAAAGGTATTGTTTCTATCACTGATACCACAGGTTAAATTATATGGCATGCCACCTTCAAGTAACAGTTGAGGCAATAAATGCAAAGGCATTACAATGAATCCCACTTAATACAACTATACAAACTAACACTTCTCTATAAATTAAGTTTTTTTTTTCCTGACTGCCAGTTAAATACAGAATTTTAACTTCAGAGCTTAACAATTAAGGGTCATACACCAAAGTCAATACATATAACCTAGCAGTTCAGTCTAAGCTATTCCATGTACACAGCTGAAATTAGTTACAAAGTATGGCCTAACAAATGCTAGGGGAATTTTTTTTAAATAGTTTTTACAGGTATTAAACGTATCTTGCACACTTAACTCATCATACATACAGGGCAAAGTCAGAGCTTTTATATTTTGAGTTTATTCTTCATTTAACTTTTAAAACACTACTATAGTTGAATATTAAAACAAAAACAATAGCAAGTAGTGAGCATATTATGATTATAGTCCTTCACTCATTCACTACTGTATATAAAATGCCAGCAGTGAGTGTCATCCACTGGCCCCGTTAAGAGGTCTGACACTGAACACCACCCCTAGGATGATGTTCATCATCCTCATATGCTTCTCCATTGTAATGGCGTCGTCTTTCTTGATTTGGATCAAAGTCCACCAGTTCTACCTGATCCATTTCATCAGTCTCTTCTACTTCTTTCCTTTCAGGTAGGAGTTTTTCCAGCAAAGAGAGTTTATCAGGAGAGAGAAAGCCATTCTCAGGAAAATTTACCTATAAAAAGAAATTTCTACAGTAAGTTCAATTTGATTTACTTCATCATTAGCTCCTTAAATTACTGTGGACCCATTTTCCCCAGAAAAACACATATAATCACACAATTTTTCAGTGAATATGCCAATCTCAGATTAGAACACGTGTACTAAAAGGCAAAGCATCTAGTGCTCTGAACTACAGTTTGTTTAAGGCACATGGCGCAAGTAAGGTCTTTTTAAAAGATAATGGTCCTAGTAAAACTGTACTGTAATCATCATTGTCCTATTCGGCAAATACATTATACAAGAATCCTTCCTAAAATACATTTTAGGAACCACCCTATCAATAAACCAAGCACTGTAAAATTTTGCCAAAAATTAACAATCGTTATTTCAAGTCCTTTTGCTGAAACTTAAGATTCCAGTTATAGCCCTGGCTGGTGTAGCTCAGTGGACTGAATGCCAGCCTATGAACCAAAGGGTCACTGGTTCGATTCCCAGTCAGGACACATGCCTGGGTTGTGGGCCAGGTCCCCAGTAGAGGGTGCACTGAGAGGCAACCACACATTGATGTTTCTCTCCCTTTCTCCCTCCCCTCCCCTCTTTCTAAAAATAAGTAAATTCTTTACAGAAAAAAACAAAACAAAACCCAGTTATAGCCTATCATTAATGAAATACCCACTTGTCACGGACCCCCCCACCCCAATTTTTAAATAGCCAAATGATGATGTAAACAAACCACATCCCAACTTGTTAACAATGATCAATATAACAGTAGTAGTATTCAGTCAATGTTGTTTCTTCCCGGACAAGGGAGAAGGTAAATTTGAAGTTTCTCCCATTCAGACAATGTAATTCTTATCAGATTTTAGTAAGTAATCACTCCAATATTGCTATAGTATGTTACCTTGAATTCAATGATCAGGCGACCCTTTTCATACGGTCTACGATAAATTGGCATGCCTTCATTTAGCACACACTTGATGTCTCCATGCTTGACAATCTGACCTAAAAACATTGAAGCCAAGTTCTTCCTTAAATACAGCCACATTTTCACAAATTGGGGAAAATAAGGAACAGAGGAATGTCCTAGCTCATTGACAGGAGGTAAAGTTATGTGAATTAATACTTTTCATTTATGGATTTTCAAGGGGCTTCCAAAAAAGAGACAAGACCATACAATTTCAGCTCAGCTCATAAGGAGGATATGTAACTGAGCAAGTAAGATACATTTCCTCAGTTTCTATACTAGCTCTCTGCAGAGAATGAAAAGAGATGACCAGAAAAGAAAGAGAAGCTCATCTACCATCATCATACCTGGATGAGAGGTGATGACTATGGTTCGGTTGTCAAGAGTAGCTATTGGCTTCTGGAAGCCACACAATGCTTCGACCAGCTGTATGTCCATACACATGAAAAGGTCTTCTCCTCGCCTGTATTAACATAAATATAGCACATACTTACATCTTTCAAATCACCAATGATTCTAAGTACCACAGCAGGCAATTGTTTTGTTAACAGTAGCAAGGTATCTCTCACAAAGATGTCCTTTCTTTACCATTCTAAAAACACAGCTGAAAACTGGGAACAGCACATATGTAGAATCTGCCAGCCCCACTTCCTAGCCAAGGCTTCAGAATCCTTCCACACACTCCAGGTAGTCTCTACCATCCATAACTTATTTCATTACCTAATTTTGAATCTAGTTCCTCACAGAGAAGAAAGATGTTGCACAAGAATGAGGCTAAAAGCAAGCAAACATATATTAAGAAAAAGACATTATAGTGTAAGTTGGACTGACTTCAGCTAGGTCCTGGATTATAGGGTTCTATGAAATTTACTGATGTATATAAATTAAGTGATATAGTGCCTGGCATGTTATAAACACAGTCTTTTATATTTAATCACATACCATTTCCTTCTCCTCATGCTTAGGCTTCCTTTTCCAATCCACATTAATAAAGTATCTTTGATCAGGCAGAATACTCTCCAGAAAAGTTCCTGAGGATTTACCTCAAATGACAACATTAAAATCCTGAGCTTGATAGCCCTTTCCATTGTTGGGACACTTGTGGAATGTTCTTTTATGATTAATTTTAAACCAGTTCCTTCAGCCCTGATCTGCGTGACTCAGTTGGTTGGACAGTCCCGCAAAGCAAAAGGTCGCTGATTCAAATCCTGGTCCGGGCACATGCTTGGGTTGTGGGTTCAGTCCCTATCAGGTGCATACGAGAGGCAACAATGTTTCTCTCCTTCTCTCCCCTTCCCTTCCCCTCTAGATATAAATTTTTTTAAAAATCTTAAAACAAAACAGAACAAAACCAGTTTCTTCAGATGTCATTCCTAGTAAGACTTATTAGAACCCTATACTAGTCCAAATTTTAAAGCCAGCCATGGGTGTATATTTAACACATTCACTGTTTACCATCAACTTTTCCTGTGCTTCACTACAAGTTCACTCTAAAACACTTACTTATAATTAAAAGCAACCTATCATGAACTAAGGATTGAAACTGGTGAGAACTTCAGAGCAAAATTTTATCTAGGGAGGTTCCCCCTAATCCACCTGTTTATTAAACTCATATATCCTTTAAATTCCAGATTAGGTAATAATATACCTGAATTTAGAGAAAAGGCTAAAATCAGATTTTTTTTTTAAAGCTTCTTTTAAAAGATGGAAACACTAATGATTAACAACCTTTTAGAAAAGACATTACACAAAGCCTTACTCTCCTAATATATTTTTCCAGGGTATTTCTAGGAAACATGTTCTAAGAGTAATGAAAAGCTCACTTAAATTTTTAAAAAATACCCCAAGTATGAAAAATGTCAGTCTGAGTAGCTGGTTAAAGTTTTTACCGAGTGAAAACAGTATGGTCCTTCTGATCTAAAACAATGATAATATCTCCGGGCTCTAGTCCTGGTTCTTGGTCTCCTTCACCATGGAATGTTATCTTCTGGCCATCTTTCATACCTAAAAACAAAAGGTTAATTTTACACTCTTATTTAACATCCAACTAAGGTCAGATTCTCAATTTATCAAGAAACACAGATGCATGTTTGTGTGCGCATAAAAAAGTTCAAGGCTTTATGGAAGCTAAAGTTTATAGCGATGACTAAGAATGCCCACATCATTAGAGCAGTCCAATTTCTTCCTGACAAAAGCTATCACAGCGGAGAACACAAACTCTGGAGGCAAAGAGGTCAGGCCTCAAGACTCAGAGCTGCTATTTACTACCAGCTGGATTATCCTGGGGAAGCAAGTTGCATAACTTTCTTAATCACCAACTGTCCCACAGAGACCTACCTCATCAGGACTGTTGTGAGGATTAAATAAAAAGGTCTATGCTGGCAACAAATCAGTGACTGGCAAGCACTATAACCATGAATGTTAACTATTTCAATTTCATGGAACACATATCGAATTATTTTTACTAAGCGTAACAGAAACAGATCAAAACTTTCTTCTACTGTATTAGCAATATTTACATATAGGAAATCTACACATAAAATCTAAATAATTGAAAAACCCTTATCATTTTGTTGAAGAATGATTCAGTTTAGCACTCTTAAAAAAGGATATATATGTGACACTCCCTTCAGCCCCTGTTGTTAAAGTGTCAAAAGTACAAGTATTTTCCAATAAAAAATTAAACCACAGGATCAGTATTATACATTGATAAAACTAAACATACTCTGGCTTTAATCATCATGAGGCAATGCGACTGTTCCGTTACACTAGTGTAACAAACTCAGCTATGTTTTGCTGGTTGTTTCACTATTGTAAAGGGCATGGGTACAAGCAAATTAATACCCTCCCCTAGGTACACATATTGGTAGTGGGGAGGTGGGGGTGCCATGCATCTGACTGGAGAAAAAAAAATCCAAACTCTACGAAATGTGGGCCAAATAAGGGAGGTGAAGTGTGAGGGAGGGCAGTTATCATGATTCACAGGGTAAAGTACTATAGTAGGGCTTATACATAATGCAGATGTATGCATTAACGAGATGATGTTCATAATAATAGTTCCAAACCAATATGTACAGTATTAGTTGCAAAGTCTTAAGATTACGACATTTCAGAATAGCAAAATTAGAGATTTTTAACTTAGTCTGCAGTTATATACATTTCTAAGATTTCTACAACAAATGTGTATAAATTACCAAATTAAGGAATTCGCAAAATAAAAAAAATATAAAGTCAGTTACATGTTATAACCTAAAGCTCAAGAGTCAGAAACCAACAGGTAGGTTTACATAGTCTACAAAAAAACATTTTAAAAAAGCAATTTTCTTAATATAAGTTCTTACAAATCAATTAAAAAAATAAAACATTTCATTTGTTCATAGCATTTTCAAGGAAATGTTAAATTTAGTGAGGAACCCCTAGCCAAATCCTTGTAAGTACACATAACCCTTAACCGAGTAGTTTCTAAGGAACTTAACATGTGCAAAAGCTAATTACAGTTTAAAACGAGGCAGAACTAGTAATTTATTGGAAGAGAATTACATTTGGAACACCATTCGATCATTCACTGATGTCTGTTATATTATGTGAGGAGATTCCTAATGTATTCCCTACAAACGTGCAGAAATGTCTGGATGGAAAAAACATTCTTTACTATGTAGCTAAGATATCTCTGGGTGATAATATCACGCATATAACCCTACTGAGAATCATTTTTGACTATAAAATATAAATATTTTTGCCACAGAATTAAAGAATTACAAAGTGGCTAGAACTCACCTTTGTCAATATGAACTTCTAGAATCTTCTTCTCTCGAACTATTTTCCTTCCATTGCAGCTTTTGCATCTGTCTTTAGGGCTGATCCGTTCCCCATGGCCCTGGCACTCCATGCACACAGACTGAATTTGCTGAACCATTCCAGGTCCTATCTGATGAATTCTTATCTGCATCCCAGTGCCTCGGCAATTGGGACAGCACTCTACTGCTCCTTTCTTACCACCTCGGCCTAAATAGTTTAAAAAGAAATTAAATTATGTTTAAACTCAGTGTCAGACACAAGTAGTGAATGTTTTAATAAGAGAGTTCCTAAACACTACACTTCATTAACATTTGCAAGATGTGATGGAATGCTGCCCTAAGAACCTACAATTGAACCTTTCTATTTGATAATGTACAGCTGCAGTCAGTGTCAGTTTTATCTATAAACACTGACGGCTATTTTCCCAAGAAGACATTTCAGAATTGTGAATTTTAAACATGCCCCAAATAACAACTCATAGGATGTACTTTATCTGTAAGATGAGAATGTTTTAATCTAAAAAAGAGGACACTGTTTAAATTATACTACAGATTACGAAGCCACTGGAATGACTGATTACATTTTAGATAGAAAGAAGTACTCGTTTGAACAATGTTGAAGAAAAAGGACACTAAGATTGATCACAACTGCATATAAAATATATACATAAAAAACTGCTGAAAATTTGCTAATATTTCTCTAGATGGTAGGTTTATGTAGTTTCCCTTTTATTTGCATTCTCCAATCTTTAGGTAGTGTATTTTTGTCAGTTCTATATTTCCAGAAAGGCTTCAGTTATACTTATGATGTTAAAAAGACCATACCTTCACATTTGTCACAAATCACATTCTTTTGCAGAGCTAGTTTTCTTGTTGCACCATTATATAAATCTTCTAAGGTTACCGAGAGCTGATGTACAACATTTTTACCTAGAACAAAATATTGCTCATTAAAAACCTAAGATGCTGCATCTTTTTTGTGTTTAATGCACCATAAACACGGTAAAGAATAATGAAAGATGAGGCTCACAGGGTACATCTGTTGACTATTAATGTGTATATGCATAGAATGTTGGCTACATTATCCCCACATGATCCTCAAACTGTAATGTAATTTCAGGTAAGGAAAATCAAGTGAGATTAAATAATTTGCCTGAGAATGCAGTTGTGGCCGTCTTACAGATAATACAATGGAAAACATTAACTGCAAAATCACCTGAGAGAACCAATGTCATTTAAATAAAGGCACATTTCACAATAATTACTCCAAACTGCACTTCTGTCCTAGTATGTTGAGTCTTTCACTAACTAGGATATTAAGCAACATGGCCCATTACTTCATCCAAAAATTCTTTAGCATACTAAATTCCATGCTACAACCAATCAAGATTAACAGTCTCCATAAAGTATCAATTCCTACTTCGTCTTTCAGAAGTAGGAATAGCACATTTACTGCTTGGCCAGCACTAGTTTAAAGACTAGATTTTTCATATCCTTTATCATAGCACTGTCCAAAAGAACCAACTTTCTGCAGTGACGGAAAGTTTTATATTCATGCTATTCAACACAGTAGCCACTAGTCACATGTGGCTTTTGAGCACATCAATGTGACTATCGCAGACCAACTGAATTTTTGTCTGATTAATCTACACTTATTTTGCCCAGTGGCTACAAAGGAGTGCCGTATCTCATTTCAGAACTGGAAGTGGAAGGTGGAAATCATATGAGGACACCAGCCAATAGTTAATAAGTTCCTAGCTAGTGATTCTTCAACAAGGACTTTATCCACCACAAAACAATATTGCCTTATGCCCAAGTGAAAAAAGTTCTCAAACTCTTATCTGCACAACACACCTATTGCGTACATTTCTAATTTCCAATGAAGTGTGAAGTACAATTAACTATATTCTCCCGCTCCTAGCTCCATCTTTGGGTTCTGTATCACAAACATGTCCCACATAGTTGGTTCCAGCATGATGAAAGCTGTCCTTCTTACTTTAGCTTTATAGATTTGAGAGAATAAAGAGAAAAACAGCTTAAGTTTGATTAAGGAAGTATTTTCTGGAATCACAAACCCTTTGTTGATCTAAATTACACAGTAGAGTATGCCAGTCAATTCATTATTAAAAAGATAATTCAAACAAACAAAACACTACTACTTTTCTCTGGGACAAACCACTCTTAAGTGATTTTGATTGCAGATTATTTTTAAGGCAAATTATTTAAATAAAAACATACCCCCTTTCAAGAAAAAGTAAACAATTTCCAGTGTTTCTGAATTTTAAATAGCTCAAAGTGAAATTTAATGGCTTTTCTCTTCCTTCGAAAATCGGTTCTAACCACTAGCCCTTATTTGTGTAAACTGTACTGCGAACAAAGTGAGACTGACCGGACCCTAACACTGTTTTCTTATGACGAATATCTCCACAGCCAGGAAACATTTCTGATAAATGTGAAAGGCACATATTTTGATATAATAAAAATGAGGCAACATTAAACAGATAGCAGGCTATTTGGAGGTAGTGAACCCATGTTCCAATCCTGACTACTAATGCATTGCTATATGACCTCAAGGAATGTTTAGGTTTCTGAACTCTTTCAACTGAGTACCTCCCACTGGGTTGGGGGTCAGATAAGATCTGTAAAAGAGGCTTTGAAAGTTACATTCCTATACTTTGTTCCTTTAACTAATGCCCTTATTGAACCTTATTGAAGTTTGTGTCCTACAACCCAAGAGCTTTAAAAGCACTCACTTGTTAGCACTTGAATGGCTTGAATAATTTTAGTTATATCAAATCTTATTTAAAAAAACTATACCATAAATCAAAATGGCAGTTTACAGTCAGTTTGCAACATTATACCAACATGTAAACAAACATTTCAAATAGGTGAATGCTCAAAAATTTGCTTTGACCAACAGGCTACTTTGAATCACTGCATGTAGATTATTCTTACCTCTCCTTTCCCTCTGCATCCTTCCTCCTCCTCCAAAAAACATATCAAAGATGTCCATGGGAGAGCCAAAACCGCCACCTGCTCCACCTTCTTTAATTGCCTGTTCTCCTCCTTTATCATATAATTCCCTTTTCTTTGCATCAGAGAGCACTTCGTAAGCTTGAGAAATCTGTTTAAACTGTTTAAGAAAAGAATAAAGCTCACTTTGAAAGAAATGTTAGAAAGCATAGCCACTATACGGGGCATACTAAATTTCACGTCGTAATGGAATTACCATACCCCCTGGCAGACAACTATTCAAGCTATCTTCCTAAGTATACAACTTGCCTTCTCTCCTTCATTTGGATTCTTATCAGGGTGGTACTTCAAGGCCAGCTTCCTGTAAGCCTTTTTCAATTCCTCCTGGGTGGCATTGGGTTTGACCCCCAAAACATCATAGTAAGTAGTTTCTTTCACCATTTTTGACAGCCTGAAATTTAAAAAAAAGAAAAAGAATGCAATTTTAACCAACTTTAAATAGGTAGTTGTAATTAGTTAAACCAGAGTTTAAAGGTAGAGAAATCTCTTCCTTGCCAAATCTGATTATAAGAACCCCGCCTTCCCTGAACTTCACAGAGTAGGTAACAATTCCTATGATAATTCAGCCGTCAGTTTTAGCCGCCTAAACAGAAGCTAATAATTATCAGGGACTAATTCAAAAGCTTCCTTCTATAGCAGCTGGTTCCCAGTCTCCCACACGAAAGCCTCCATACCAGCGCCTCTATTATCTGAATCTTCCCGTTTCCCTTCTCCATCAGTGAGAGAAGTAATCCAAAGGAACACAAACAGGTTCAGTCCACTGCTTATTACATTATCATCGTCTTTGGAAAATCCGATAACTCATGCACTCCCTAGAAAAAAATATATCTGGGTACAAAGGAGCGAGGCAAGGAGTGGTTTATGAAACCGACTGACAATCCTAAGTGTTTCTCAACGACAGGACTCATAGCGCCTCCACAAAGACCGCTGAACCTCTCTCCCCTACAAGCCAGCGTAGCTTAGACGACGTTAAGTTTCCCCCTGCACTACGCGCTGATCGTTGAGGTCTTCCTTTCCCTCTCTCACCATGGAGCCAAGGGGAGAGAGAAGCCCAGCCAGCAACAAAGAAGAGGAGAGACGGGAGAAGCGAAACCAAAGCCTCCACACGGCTCCTCCCGCAGCCCCTCGCCCTAGGCGTCTTCTGCGCTTGCGCGGAGTGTCGCCCACCCTCCAGGGGAGCGCGAGGGGCGGGGAGGGGGCGCGCAAGGAGGAAAAGCCTCAGGCAGCAAGTCCTTGGAGACCTCAGGCTGGATGCGGTGTAGGGGAAGCTACATGAAAGGTCTTGGGCCTACTCACTACGTGCCGGAGATGGCTTGCCGGGGTACCACACCAACCCTCCAAAATGGGAATCGCGGATCCCAGAACCGATCTCTCTCCCGCCCACGCGGAGCCAACCGCCTTCCCACCGCGGCTCCATCCAGCTTCCTGGCGCCGTTAATGGCGCCGGCCTTGGGTCCACAGAAAGCGCGAGGGCTGAAACTCACCGGTCAGCGGGCCGAGGCAGGCGTGGAGGAGCGGGAAAGAGCGCGTTACTGCGCGCAGCTCCGAAAGCCGCCGCTCCTCCGCTTCTCACCGAGTGTTCTGGAAAGTTCCGCCCGGCGCGCCGCAGCCGTCGTCTTTTGTAGCCGAGCCCAGACGCGTCACCCACAGGAAGTCCCGCCCTTCCCGCCGCTGCCACCGCCCGCGGTTACCCGGGCAACGGTGCGGGGGAGCTTGAGCTGGACTGGGCTGTGCCGAAAGGCCTACTGGGGGTGGGTCTAAGCTTGGGTTTCTGGCGCTCCTGGAACTTTCTGGAGTCCACTCTTCCCCCGGGTGGGCCTGAGAACATACTAGTGCCAGGTGGCAGCGGGGCTTGTCCAGGGGCGTTGAAATTCCGAGCCAACTCGGAATTTCCAAATGAGTGGGGCGGCCGCCGCGGCCTGGGAGGACGCGGTGGAACAGGACCGCGGGCGGGTGCTGTGTGCGGAACGGATATCTCATAGAACAAAGCCTTGCCGGACCTCCACCTTGCTGGCGCTTCGTTTGCCTCTTTCGGCATCTCTTACTAGCTTAGTTCTTTAGTCCTCATGTTCTGGGAACCCAGTGAGCAAGAAATGCCTAGCAAGATGGGTCTGGGCCCCAGAACAATTCCACAGGCCTTGGATTTTGCTCCTTTCCACACGCAGCCCCTGACCTCGTAATTCAAACTGCGAAGTTGGAAGAGCTCTTTGCAAATCCAGACTCCTATACATAAGTTATCTACCTTGGGCCTTAATGTCTCCTAAACCTTAGGCTCAGGGCAGCATTAAGCAGGGAAACATTTGAAATCCCTTTGTGCAAACTGAGGGCCATGAACTCTTCTCTGGCCCGGCGTTCACCTGGCTTGGCTAGCCGAGGATACAGAGTAGCACCAAGAGTGACTGACAGATTGTTTTATTTGATTTTCTAAGTCCCATCTGTCTAAACCCGGATCTAACCTCCGCAAAGTGAGTCTCTGGGCTTTCAAATGCTGGGAGGGGGGGCACGTTGAGAAAAGGGTCTGTTTTCCTTGTTCATTAACACAAACTTAAGAGTACCATCTAGCTCCAAAGAAGCTGAAACTGGAAAGTTGAACAAATAAGGTTCACGTCACTTAGGCTTTAATATGGAACCAAACGAGTCCAAGAACTATAAGTGAACCACACCATAGAGGTTAGCAAGGGAGAGGCTCCTATATTATTAATCTGATGGAACAAGGAAAGCTTCCTGGGAAAGGGGCAGTTGAGCTGAGTTTTCAAGAAAGGAGAAGAGTTTTAGCAGCAAAAGACAGTACAAGGGAAGGCTAAAAGTGTGGAAGAATAAACGTTTTTAGGAAGTTGCAAGTAATTGGATATAGCCAGACCTAAGGGAGCTGGAGAAGCAGGAGGTGAGGCTTCAGAACTAGTCGGGTTACACCTATTGTTTTATCTTTCTAAACTAAGGATTCTGAACTTTACCCTGGAGTCAATCCACATGTGTATCTCTCCAGCCTTCTCTCTCTTATTTAAATTATGCACGCCAGTGACAGGGAACTAATTGCCCCCAAAACACTTTGTTACCTTTCTGTACATTTGCTCTGGCTGGTGAACACCTAGTTTTCCCAGTTTTAAATGTTAACTTCTCAAATGCTGCCTTCTGGTATAAACTTTTTTCTTTCCATAGCAGTTACTGAAACTCTAATATTGCCAGGAAGGGCACTAGGGCTTGGTAGTATAAAAATCACATGAGTCTTGGCCCTGTCCTCAAGGAGTTCGCCACATGAGGAAGGAGTGTGATAAATGCCAATAAAAAAGAATATATTGGGGTGCTCAGTAGGGAAACCTTGCACCATCTAAATAAATATCCCAGGCCGAGAGACCAGGAATGGTGAAAACGTGAACAATTAAGAGATGAGCAAGTGAAAAATTACATTTAGAGACTGCCTACAGATGGCTATGAAATACAAAATTGAAGATACTTTTAAAATTTGCAAATTCACTAAGTGAGCTTAATTTTTTATTAAGAATTAAAATAAGGGGCATATAAATTTATTAAAAAAGGAAAACTATGTACTTATTTGCTTGTATGTGCATAGAATATTTCAGAAGGATACCCCAAAACTTGTAATGTAGTTGCATGTGAGGGAAGCTGAGTGGGGGGGAGAGGCAGGTGGGAGGGAGACATTTCACCAAGTACTCTTTTGTAACTTCGAAATATTTAACCCATCTGAATGTAGTCTTATTTAAAAATTTAAAAACATCAGTATATATGCTGTGTTTGACATATTTTTCCTTCATGGAAATTTATCTCGATGCTGAAAATATGTCCTGATGAATACCCTGGCTTTTCACTAATAGAAGTTAACACTTTTAAGAAGCATTCTTATTTACATAAAATAGAAAAAAATTAACAATAATTATCTGATTTTCTTTTGTAAAGAAATGGGGTCATATATATGTTGTTTGCCCCTTACCCTTTTTATTTAATTTATTCTCATCATGTTCAGATAATAAAACTACTTATTTTTAATGGCTTCATAGTATGTAGGATGCAGGCACTATAATTTAACCATTGTCCTATTGATGAACATTTTGGTGATTGCCAATGTTTTATAAACAATATTAAATAATAAATATCACTTATTGTTGAGAAATTCTCAAATACAGGTTTGGGCACTCATACAAGTATTTCTGTAAGATGGACATCTAGAATTGAAATTGTTGGGTTCTGTGAATGCAATTTTAAAATTGTGATAAATAATTTTCCATACCAGTTTGTATTGCTTCCGGCAGTGTGTGAGTGGGCCTTGCCAATATGGGGGAAGTCTGTCTTTTTTTTTTATTAGCCTTTGCTAACCATAGAGATTAAAACATGGTATCTGTTGTTTTAGTTTGAGTATCTTTCACAGTGTGGTGGTTAAGCATCTTCTATCAGGGGTGTCCAACCTTTTGGTGTCTCTGGGCCACACTGGAAGAAGTAGAGTTGTCTTGGGCCATGCATTAAATACACAAACACTAACAAAAACAAAAAAATTTCATAATGTTTTAAGTAACTTTAAGATTTTGTGTTGGGCCGCATTCATAGCTATCCTGGACTGCATGCAGCCCATGGGCCGCAAGCTGGACACCCTTGTATCCAGATAGTGTTTATCAACTCATCCACATCAGTGGTCCTTCTTATTTGACCATTTTTCTGTGGTGTAACTCCACCATTTTAATGTGATTTAATAGTACTTTTATATTGGGGATAGTGTGTGTGCATATATGTCTATATATATGTATATATGCCATATAAAGGTATTAATTTTTATGAAGATACTTTAAAAATTGTTTAAGTTGATTTTTAAGTTGAAGAGAAACATCAATTTGTTGTTTCACCTAATTATGATTCATTAGTTGGTTCTTGCATGTGCCCTGACTAGGGAGAGAACTCACAGCCTTGCTGTATTGGGACAGTACTCTTACTAACTGAACTACCTGGCAAGGGTTAGATAAGTTTTAACTCTTTCTTTTTGGCTTTTGCATTTCTTTTCTTCCCTTCTTTTCCCCTTCCCCTTCTCCTTTATTTATTTTATTATACTAGAAAGCCTTCACCAATCCATTATAAATATATTCTGCCAAGTTTTTTCTGGTACTTTTTATGGTTCCTTTTTTGTTTTTTTAAAGATTTTATTTATTTTACATTTTTTAGAGAGAGGGGAAGGGAGGTAGAAAGAGATGGAGAGAGATCAATGTGTGAGAGATACATTGATCGGTTGTCTCTCTCACACCCCCAACCAGGAATGGGGGCGGCGGGGCGGCCCAAAACCCAGGCATATGCCCCAACTGGGAATTGAACCGGCAATCTTCCGGTTCCCAGGGTGCTGCTCAATCCACCAAGCAACACAAGCCAGGGCTATGGTTCCATTTTTTACATTAAAAATTCTAATACGCCTGAAATTTATCTTGGTGTAAGGGCTGAGGATTTTTAAAAGGGATTTTATTTATTTTTAGAAAGAGGGGAAGGAAGGGAGAAAAACGTCATCGATGGTTGCCTCTCACATGTGCCCAACCAAGGACCTGGCCCAAAATCTAGGCATGTGCCCTGACCAGGAATTGAACCAGTGACCTTTTGCTTTTCAGAGCAATGCAGAATCCACTAAGCCACACCAGTCTTAATTTGAATGTCCTCAGTTTTTACTTAATGATTCTTTTTTATCCTGGGACCCCGTCCAGGATTTCATATTACTTTTAGTTGTCATGTCTCCTTAGGCTTCTCTTGGCTGTGACAGTTTTTTAGATTTGTTTTATTTTTTATGACCTTGACAGTTTGAAGGAGAACTGGCCAGTTATCTTGTAGAATACCCTTCATTTTGGGTTGTTTAAAGCTTCTGTTATGGTTTGAGTGGGTTCATGTGTTTTGGAGAGAAGACCACAGAAGTAAAGTGCTAATTTCATCATATCATTTTCCAGGTACGTGCTATGAGCTTGCGTCACTATTGATATTGGCCTTGATCACCTGGTTGAAGTAGCATTTCTCATTTTTCTCCATTGTGAATTTATTCCTCTCCTCTCCCCCTTTTACATACTGTACCATTTGGAAGGAAGTGGTATTCATTCTGATGTCATTGGCTTGAAGGCATGGTCTGGCATAGAGTAGTAGTAGCCGAACCTAACTGGGTCCCTTATTATTTTGTGAGTTTCACAAAAGTTCTGCCAGATAATTTTATCTGTTTTGTCAATGGGAAAATAGAAATTAGAGAATTTGAGTAACCTGCCCAAAGTAACACAGTAAGTGGTCAAATTGGAATTTGAATCCAGTCTCTCTGAATGCAAAGCCTGTGGCCTTTGCCCAGACCAACTGGCTTTACAGAGGGTTGTATTTACTTTGGCCATCTTCCCTAAGTACTTGTAATGCAAAAGTGTCCATAGATAATGTGGTTAGATCCTTTGTTATATGAAAATTTAATTCCTCTTTTCAATTTAAGTTATATTTTAGAACTCTGAGCAACCACACATTGACATTTCTCTCCTCTCTTTTTTCTTCCTGTCCCTTCTCTCTAAAAATAAATAAATACAATCTTTTAAAAAAAATCCAAATACAATACTCTATGACTTGATTTTCATT